GTTAGTTTTGAAATGATTTATAGCAGAATAGATAATAGGCGAATCTCTTTATTGATATGGATGGTTTAGGAATGACTTGAAATAAGTAAATTTTAAAGAACATTTCAGGTAAAAGAGGCAAGTGTAATAATCACTTTTTATTCACGTTTTGAAATCATGCAACGTGAAATACGCTTAAACAATGTGAACGCGCTGGAGGCTGATCTAGTTGTACAATCTTCCCCATCTGCTGCAAGCAAAATATCACTTGAAGCTGATTGTGGAGGTGTTTTGAGATTAAAGAAAGTAAAGTCGGCATCACTCACTGAATTACGGTATCGTGTTGAGGTATCTGTTCTTAATTCCTGATAAGTAAAATTGATTTAGAAAAAAACACAATGAGAAAAAAGGGACAAAAACATTTTGTATATTGAAATTGTATTTATTTCCTTTTTGTGCTAATCACAAGCAAAAGTATTTTCAGTTAGACATGAATTCGGTATTTTTGTGGCAAGAGTTGTTAGATAAGTGTAATATCTCAGTCAAAAATGCAATCACAGGACAATTTGAATTAGTACCGGTAACTATCGTTCTTCATGGAGATACTTCGAAAACTGTTTTACGTGGTACCTTACTTCTGTCGTAATTTTTTTTCTATTCATTTTGTTTCTGCAGTTTTACCGTGCCAGTGCCATAAATACCATACATCTGTTGTTCAAAGTTAATGATATTACAGCTTCTGATCATTTATTGGGTCTCCTGCGATCATTTCTAGAGTCGACAGTTGTTCATATATGTGCGTCACTTCTTACCGCCGGACTTCTCATTGTTTTAATAGGTACTTTAATGTGGTTACACTTTCGGTCATTTTTCATTTGTAAACTTGTTTAACCAAGAATCACAAAGTTTGAGATGTCCAGTTTGTTTCACATTGCATTCCTAAATGTCGGACAAGTTTTCCTTTTACGAGGTGGATAATTTGAGAAAAAAAATATGTTTTTATATGTCAAGCTATCTGTTTGTTAGTTTTCATAAATTTCCTTTATTTAAATTTTTAATTTTAGTCGTATGAGTTAAATATTTGCAGCGAACTACAAAGGATTCAGCCTTCCTTCTTATTTCTTCGGCTCCTTTTCGACCTCTGATTCTAATGTCACGTATGGATCGTTTGGTAGTGATTATCCAGGTTAGAATTCGTTTTTTTTTTTGAATTATTCTTTATGTACTGATATACATTGGTACACTCGCATACACAAATTTTGAAAATGAAATGAAAGTTAAACAGAAAAGACGATGAGGATTTTATTGTTGTGCAATTTGTATGAGAATGGTGAATGTAGAAAGAATTACAGAACGGTGTCCTTCATTAGCTTATAATAGTGGACAAAATTTATGGGATTCACCAGATATGAGATCATTATCCGGTCGATCCATTCGTTCAGCTGGAAGTCCAGGTGAACCGGTTCTTTGGAGTGTTGCGGACCGGTCGCAAACATCACCATACTTACGGAAGAAATATTGGTTGTGATGGTGCTTCTTTGCATATTTTACTCATATTTTATTTGGAAAAAGTTTTGGTATGGACAAAAAGTTTACGAGGATTATTTGGCTTACCAGCTGCTATTGTTTGACATGTGGTTCACTTTCTCTAATATTTCACTGTTGTTAGCTAAGGTTACTACCATTAGCGAAATTAGATGCTTATTTTTCGTTGATTATATTCTTCAAGTTTCATTCAAACCTTCAGCTTTCTCTTTTAAGATTTCTTGTTGTCTTCTAACCGGTACTTGTACAACTGATCTCTAGTATACAGATAGCATCGGCAAATATTCATTTAAACAAAACTTTGCTATTACCATCACTTAAGGCTTATTAATTTTATGCATTAGTTCGAATTGTTCGTTGACAATATCATTTTCAATAAGAAAAAGTGCTGTAGAACCGAGCAGATGAGAAATATTTTAGATTGGTTGAAAAAATCATATCTTCTGAAGTTGTGTTGTTCTTTTGGATATTATTTCTAGCAACATCACAATTGGCCGAATGCCTCATCCTGTGCTTTTTAAAAGACGTGTTGTTTTGATGTTGAGACTTTGTAAAGTTGTTAATTAATTACATCTATTGTGTTGATTTTTATTGAAGTAGTCAGGGTTGGATATATGTGTCTTCCTATTGTTGTCATAATTTTTATCATTGCATCATTTGTTTGGTCACAAGTAAAAAAGAAGAATCATGAATCAATCTGTATTCATTTTGAAATGAGGCAATTTCGTGGCGAATATGACGAGAGAATAAATGTAGAAGAAGGAAAGTTTAAATAATTTGATAAGTTTAAGTGAATCTATTCCTCGAGGAAAATAATTAAACACAGATAGTTCCAACATGAAGGTTAGTCGGTGTTCGCTTGACATACACATAATTGTAATTAGCTATCGTAAGAGATATAGATCAGTTTTTTAACGAAGGAAATATACAATGGTCCATGCTATGAAAATCGATGCGAAAAAGTGCAAATTATAGATTTCTATTTGATGAAGATGAAAGAGAAATAAAGATTTTTATCTCGAAATTAAACTTATACGTCAAATCTTATTAACATCAATTGGAGGTTATAATAAGATTTACGCGTATCATATACAACGTTAATTAGCAATTGGTACATTTCAGATAAAATATACCATGTTCTAAATCGGATGACTTCAAGTCAACATCTAATGCTCGATTAATGTATGGATTCAATACATCTCTTCCTGAAATTATTACTCGGATTATTAATTTGTCATCTGTTGTTTCGTTCTTCATGATTTTTTCCTTTAAATTTAATTGTTCATTTTTTATTGATATAGGAGGACGAAGTAACAACAATGATTGATGTAAATGTATATGAAAATATGAAATTTCTCATTGCAGCATATTCATTATCAGTAATCAGAGTTGCACGATAGAATCACTGATGGCTTTTTTCCCGCAATTAATTCTAGCCGAGCAATTGAATCAATGGAAAAGTTTGTTTGCTATTATCACTGTTTTTATTAGGAAGTCATTACATTGATCGTGGAAAAAAGGTATAATTAAGATGATTTGATCTATTTGTTATTATACTTCATAATAAAAAGAAGTATACCCTTGTAAGCTTTTGGAGTTTGTCTTAATGCCCACTGATGATAAAGACGACACCACTTCAGCCGTGGAAATATCCTGCGCCGTCGTATCTTTAACGCTGCTTTCTGTAATACTTATTTTAATAAGTTACATTAAGTGTCACAAGTAATAATACCGAAATTATCGGTATTCAACGCTTTCCTATTTACCTCTATGGCGAGAAAAACGCTCATATTTCGGTATTATTTATTACTTACTCATCATTATGGTGATATTATGTTAATGATTTTTTCTCTGTAGAAAAAAGTTGACAAAAAAAAATTCGAAAAGTAAGAAGTATGAAGAAGGATAAGGGAAAATAATTGTTGATAGTGATCCCAATTGGTTCAGTATCAACTGGTTCACCAGTATTAACTGGTAGTATCAATCAGTGTTATCCTCTAAAGATAAAAAATTGTGGGAATTCTTCTCTGCTGCTTTTTGCCAATTTTCAATAAAATTCATAATTACAGGAAAAACTTTCCTGCGCATGATAGCAGTATAGTGATATTGATGTTACGGAGAATTTCGTAGTGGAATTTATAGAAGATTGGAAGTAATAAATATATCTCAAATATGAAAGGATGAGATATTTTTTTTTACGCTACTAATTGCAACCAATGTTCAAGGGAATTCTTGTCTGTGAAGTTGGGTGCATACGAAGGGTTTTTTACGGAAAACAGGTTCGTGCTCGTGGTACTGCCGGACATCTTTCATCCATTCGATGTCTTCGGGCCGTGGATGCATTATCGTATGTTTTGATATTTCACTTAAATTTTTGAATGATGAAAAATCTGAAGACGTATTTGAAATACTATCGTTTGTTGTCGATGACCTGAAATTACCTAAAAACTAGCTTTTTGTAAACTCCAGAATTATCTTCTTATTTTAATCTTCTAATGATATGTTTTCTTATTGCATTCAAATATCTATTATTCAAATTTCTACAGATGGAATGTGTTCATGGACTCTAACTTGAGATATCAATGATTAATCGATAGTGAAGTATTTTGATGTTAGCAAAATACCTTCTATTGTAATTACTGCTAGAAAGAATACAATCATCCTGGCTTGTAGTACTTTCTTCATCAACACTTCGTTCATTATCATCAGTTGGATAGCTCACACTAAAGGCTGATCGGGTACCAATTGTCCTGCAATACAGTTCAATTATTCGTACGATAATATCCAATACTGTTGTCTTTAACTATAAGGATATTACAAGATTGATAAGGATGTATGCAGATAAAAATTACCTTTACATATCGCTATCAAGTACTAGGCGTTTTTATCAATTTCTAATTTGATGCTAAATAAGTAAAGTATATCGAACATTTACTGATCTTATTATTGTATATGCAACTTTAGACTTATTTACATCTGTCATAAAAACTACATTGATACTTTTCTCCATATATTACCTAACAGTATCGCGCAGAAACTTTTTTATTTTTAGATCAGTAGAAGATAAGTGTAAAAATTCTTATCACCAGAGAGCAGATAGTTACAAACTAACGTTGTCCATGAATTCGTTTCTTCCACATCTTTGTTTTCCTCCAAATTTACTGCTTTCGTTTCATTAAGCTAAATAATTTATTTGATTTTGTTTCCTTCTGAATAGTAACTTTTTAGATCAGTAGAAGATAAGTGTAAAAATTCTTATCACCAGAGAGCAGATAGTTACCGCTTTTGTTTCATTAAGCTAATAATTTCTTTGATTTTGTTTCCTTCTGAATGGTAACTTTAATTGAATTTACGATATTATATCAATTGTAGTTACGGTGATATAACTAAATAAATTTTCACTTTTCATCTTATAAAAGGAAATTATATTTCCTTAATGCTTTATAAATTTTCCCATTTCCTCCTAATTTCTGTACGTTAAATAAGGCAAAAACAATAATAGCATCCTTAAATGATTCTGCTTAATCTGTTTATCTGGTAGTTTTACGTCATGAATCTTTTTCCGTGAAATAGTCGATTTTAAAATTCAAGTAAAACCTTAGAAAATGATTTGCTTTTCTTCTTATACAAACCATGTGATAATGAATGATTGAGAAGAGATGTCTTAGTATGATTTCTTTTCAGCACATTACCCATCGTACTGCAGTTTAAGATTATACAATTTTCTCAAACTGAAAGTATAGATTGGATCACAGTAAAATCGCAGTATAGTATATTTATTAATATATTTATTTGAATATTTACCGTAGCACTATGGTAAAGTATTCCATTAAATGTAAAGCAGTTATCATTCACTAATGATAATAACACATTAATGTAATAAAAGTGAATAAAAATTAACAATTTAAACGAAACACTACCGTATTCTTCACTTCCATACAAATATACTACCATTGAAATTCATATTTCATTTATGTTATACCACAATTTCTCATTAAATATGCAAATTTTCTGACATATAGAAAATGAATCAATTAGAATTTATTCGTCTTGCTAGAAAAAACAAACATATCAATTAAAGTTTTCATTTGTAGTTAAAAAAAAAAGTAAAATATAATTTAAAATAATGATAAATAATGATAAATGTTATCATAGGAAAAAATGTGGAAGATATGAAAATGTTACCAATTTAGAATGCTAACATTGAGACATTTAAAAAAAATGAAACTAATGAATAATAGTAATATATTTTTATAAAAAGATATGATAACGAAATATTTAAAGCGTTTCAAAACTCATCGAAAAATTTGTAGGAGAAAATTTATCCGTAAGATTTATGCTTACTATGATTAATCGAACATATATGTTGCAATAGTATAGTAAGAAATATTTTAAATCACTGGTTGAATACATCCAGTACTGCAATCATCATTTTTTATTTGATCCTTTTAGCTACAACTAACAAAATATCTAAGTTAAATTAAATCTAAATTTAAGTTAAATTTTTTGGTACTTTAAATTTATCAAATTATCACAATAGCGTTCCTTACAATATGATGATCAGTTTTATCAAAATTTTCAACAAATTTTAAAGAATGAAATTAGTGGAATAAGGATGAAAATTTTTAATTAATGGTTAATTCATTAATTACGATATATATACATTGCATTATTTATGAAGTATTTTCGAAACCAAAATCTTCAAAATAAAATAAGAATAGAATATTAATGACAAATAGTTCAACACTTCTACATTTATCATTATTATTAATTATTATTAACTATTAATTAGTTATTTATTTATGATTATTGTTTTTGTTATTATTATCACTATCAGTTATTTGTGAATAGTTAATATTAAATGAATATTTTAACATATGATGAATTTAATGACAACCACATACATTCAACAGCAATCATTCATACTTAAATTATTTCACTTTGAAATTTATCCCTTTAATTGCTGTTTTGTCAAATTTTCAAATATTTTGCTCAGAAATTGATGATAAAACTATCAGTGGTAATCAGTTAATTTCGATAATAAAATTTCAGGAATCTAAAATTAATCGGTTTTATGAATTTTGCATTCACAAAAACATAAACAAAATTGCTCGCTAAACCTAATATTACATTTGATCAAACATATAGATTAGGTGTCTATTATTTGATAACTGATAACCTCTCGTTTTGACATGTCATCAAAATTGATCCTTTACTTGCATATTATTATTATTACGTTTCTACATACTTCTACATTTGCGAAGGTATTTCTTTTACTTATTTTTACACTCTACTCCAAATTATCACGAATGTTAAAATTATTTAATTCAATTTTCTAATGTTGATTTTTTGTATATCTTTATTAGAAAATTCCATTGAATGATTTTATTTTACAGAAGTACCATATATTTCATCGTTTAATTTACATATTACCTAATAAGGATATAATATAGATATACGGAAGTACCATAACCATTTAATTATCCAATACAATGATTTCAAAAAAAAAACTAAAGATAAAATATGAATGAATTTTAATAAGAATTATAGTAAATCCAAAATAACTCCATCATTTAAATAATTGCAACATAATAATTAGCAATTTTACAAAGACAATATAAATCTCGTTCAAGACAAAGACAATATAAATTTATAAAGGCAATATAAATCTCATTCAAAATGTTATATTTGACATAAAATGCTCAACTGATAACAGTTATCTCGTTTGCAGCAATCGTTAAATTAAGTTATCAAATTACCTTATTGACTGTAGAGAGTTTAATTGTAACCGATGTTAATCGATTATCCATCACAAATGATAAAATTGAATTTCGGTTTTAATAAATTTTTAATTAAAAAAAAAACATACTTACAAAAACAATATTTAATTTCAGGAATAATTTAAATTAATAATAATAAATTTCATAAGGTAAAATTTTGCTTATATCTAAAAATAAAGTTATTACTTGGATTTCTCTTCTTCTCATTTTGCAGATTGATATATCACAAAATCATTCGATAATTGATATCAGCGAGGAAGATATTGAACAGAATACAACTAAACAACCAATTGGATTTATTAACAAATTGCTCATTAAATTTGTTAAAGAACATAAAGTGGAAGACGGAATGAAAAATGAAACAAAAGAATTTGAAATGAATGAAAATAAAACAATGGGAAAATTTTATTATGATATTAATGGAAATAATCTAGCTGATTTACTCAAACCAATTCTTTATGATGGATTTGTTGAAATGAAAAATGAATTTGTTTCAAAAAAACGAGAAGTTGATTTATACGGTGCACCTCAACGAATTACCGGTGATTTTTGGTCAGCTTTTACTAGTTTATTCAAGATACTCGGAAATTTTTTAAATACATTACTTTCACCAATTTTAAAAATTTTGAAATCTATTTTTAATTTTGGAAGCCTTTTAAATTTTGCAGCTCCATAAAATTTAGAAAATAATAGTACCTAAATTAATGATATATTAACATTTGGAATAAGAATGAATGATTAAAGATATCATTATTGATTACCCCATTCATATCATAAAAACAAGAAAAAAAGATTTTCTTCTTTTTACACCTAAAATTTGCTTCATTCTTATTGCTTAAAATATTTCCGCTTTTTCATCAAATCATTGAGATTTTCAGATGGCTGAATTATGTGAAAAATATCATCCTAATTACGCACCTATTTACACGTATATCTGTCCATATTTACACGTATATTTACACGTATATTTACACGTGTATTTACTAATTTACACGCATATATGCATACATCAGTAATTGTAATTTGTTGTTTTTCTTTCTTTTAATGATAGTTAAATGTGTTTGTAAGCTTTCAAATTCGCTATTATTTCAAATGAAACAGTAATTAGATAATTAATTATAAATCAATTATTACGATTATAAATTTTTTTGTTTCATTATCATCAAAAGTTTTTCTTCACATTGTTCACTTCTATAGAAATAAAGCTTGTATTATTAATTATTTTTGTTACTGTAAACATTTAATAAAATATATTACGGAAATACGACAAAAAAAAAGTTATCCCATCAGTAAAGCGAGCATTGCTATTAATTAAAAATACTCTGATATGATATGATATGATATTATACTGAACTTTTTCGTTACTCCAAGCACTTAATAAAATATAGTCGGAAATGCGACATAAGGAAATAAAACTCTCTTTTATAGTTTATCATAGATATTTCTACATAACATGTAATCTATCCCAATGATGCGAGAACAATTCAAGAATTGCTTTTTGATTTTCATAATAGAAATAAAAACAAACTTAATTAGTTCGTTAATTTTTCAGAGAAGAAATTAATATTGTATTAATTTTTCTTTCTTTTAAACTTATCAAGTACTTTCGCTATAACTATCCGATAATATCACTTATCATTTATCTGATAAAATGTTGACATGAATTATTTCAAAATTCTCGCCTTTCTATTCAGAGTTTTTCCCGTTAATTTCAAATTTTGATTATTTACCTGAACCAACAATGATAACATCATATTTACTATAAATTATTATTTGCAACAATAATAATAACAATATTGAAATTTATCAGCTTACTTTTTAATACATTTATAATACTCTTAATAAATTTTAATTCATTGTAATCTTATAATTTTCACCTCAACAAATTACAGGAAGAAAATATTTATATTGGAAATATTTAATCGTTGAAAATTGTCTTCAATTTTTGATAATAAATTAAACAGAATTAATTATGCGTTTAGAGAATAATAATAATAAATAACAAGATAAAAGGTATATTTTGTCGAAACATTCCACATTTTCACTTCAAATATTTCGGTTATTATAAGAATGAAACAAATGACTGATATATTCCTTATCATAATCGCAATTATTCTAAATGTATGCTTCTGTAAGGTGAATTTAATTGTTAATAAATAATTATTGTCTGTTAATTTGTTAACAAATAATTATCTTCCGTTAATTTCAAAATTTGATTATTTACCTAAACCAATAATAATAGCATCATATTTACTATAAATTACTATTTGCAACAATCATAATAACAACTTTGATAAGATGATATATGTATATGATTATATAATTAAACTGATATTAAAAGTATATAATATAACAAATTGAAAATTAGCATCGCAAAATGATGAATTAATCAGCATATTTTCTCCGTGACATCCATGACATTTAATAGGAATATATTAACTGAAATACTTAATGAATGAATTTAGAAGCATTTCGGTAGAATAATCTCAAGACAACAAATTAATTTGTTTTTTTTGCGTCGACTATCAATAGTTTCATTCCATCGAATTATTTTGCGATAAAAAATTGAATGTTAAATCTGATTTATACTGATAACGAATAACTCTTAACTTAAATAGAATATATGAATTTGAACTAATTAATGTTTAATGTTTTACTATTACTTCTTATACGAACAATTTCCCTTCACTTAATTTTTTATCATATATTTATTTCGCTGATATTCCCTCATCAATTAATTTTATATTTTCATTTATAGCCAATTGAACCGAAATCAACGATCAGTAGCACCATCTTATCAATCGATAAAACGAATCAATCATTAATGCATAAAATTCTGGATGATTTGAAAATTGAAGAAGAAGGTGTAGTAAAAGGTACTAAACTGTATCTCGAAAACCAAAAAGCATTCCTGAATATCGGATTACTATTTAGTGATTTGATAGATTTGATACGTCAAGGCAAAGATGTGTTTCTAACAGTGTTCACATTACCATTATCGATTCTATTTCATTCATTAGGCTTAACTGAAGTTGGTGACATACTCAGAAATTATGGCTTAAGAGTTATTGTGGATATCATTGCGAATGATAATGATATGCAAATACTTTGATTGATTATTTCATTCATTTAATCATTTTATTTAGATATAGAATTATTTCATGTTATCGTACTTTTCTTGATATCGCTTCTTCTTCTTCTTGATTTTTTCTTTCCGATACATCGATGCGAAATATCTTTTCGAATTATTTTTATCACACACGCTTAGATTTAATTATCTTATTAACTAATTAATTTTTGTATTCATTGAATTTTTCTAATTTAATAAATTTGTTTTCTTTTTTCTGTTCAATTATCAGTTTTACTAATTAAAATAAGACATAAAACCTTTAAGAAAATAATACAGCGAATAGATATTTTTGCAAAGATAATTAACAAATAAATGAATGATTATTAGAACGTCTACCGTATCCGGCTTATAAATATATTTTATTAGCAGCGGATGGTTTAAATTTATTCATAAATTTTATAAAATTCCTGAATGAAATTATCGCCCTAATGAGTATGTGACAGTATCTCACCTGCTTTGGAATTCCGCTAATGTCGCTGAAATTCTTATTTCATTTTCATTTCACAATTAATTGTCGAACTTAAATCATTGAGATGATAAAAATGAATTGAATATGACAAATTGATTTTAGTCAATTTTAAAATATATATAAATTTCAATTTAATATTTGAAATTAATTAAGGAAATTTTTTCTAATGCATTTTTTAGTAATTAATTGAAATTAATTAAGTAAATTCTTTCGAAAACATTTTTTAGTAAATCCTTTTTCAAGCTTGTGAATATCTTTTTCCTCAAAATAAGAAAATTTGTATTTAAAAATGAATTTATTAAGATGAAAAAATTGAGCTAAACAAGAATAATTTAAATATATAAGAAAATGTTGGAAATATGCAAATTTTATTATTTTATTATATAAATATCAATTGATTATCAAATTATTATCATTTTTACTACGGCGATCGATCTGAAGTGGCTTTTTGCATTTCATGGTGAGATTTCTTGGATTACTGATGAAGAATTCGAATAAATTTTTGGATATTGCAGGGTGGAAAATTGAATTAAACTAAATTGATAATCAACAAATTTAATTTAGTCACTAAAAACTAACATTTCTTCCAAATTCAAATAACAGCGAAATTTATGTTGCTTATTTTGATTATCGATCTAATATTTTGATATCATATTTTAATAGGGTAGGATATAAGAGAAGCAAATCATTTACCTCCGTTTATTTGATAATTTTAATAAAATTTCATTTCAGAGGCTAATTTTCATTGTGTTTGAATTATTATAAAAATCAACAATAATTCCTCATCAAAAATGAATGGTACTCTTCAAGAATCTCTTTCTTTTCTTTTCAATTGGAAATTTTTATTATTTAAAATTAAATTATCCTAATATTAGAACAAAAGGGGATTATTTAATTTGTGAATTGAAATTGATGCAATGATTTAATTTGTTCCAAAAAATATCTCAGGTGTAGTTTAAAAGATTTCTCAAAACTATTCATTCATATATTTCAACAATAAATTGTATCATTTTCATCGTTTTCATCAATTTCATCGTTTCACTAATTAATGGTTGTGATATTAAAAATTTACATGACTGAAATTTTTAATGAAATTTAAAATTATTGAAAAATTAGTAGAACCTTTGTTAAGTTCTCACCCTAGCATAAACAGTATAAATTCTCGTAGTTGCATTAATAGGTTTTCAATTAAAATCAAATTTTGGTAAAATAATAAATAGGTAGAAATATAGGCCTGTTAAAAAATGGAATGAACATTAATACCTTAAATAACGAATTAGATTATTAATATTGACAACTTTATCTTCGTAATAGAAAACTATCTTACAAATGTTCTAAAATAAAAATTATTAAATTCGAATAAAATTAGGATGATTGTAATTATTTTTGTTTTATAAAGATTTTCGTACTGTTTCACTAAAGGAAATTTTTCTTACCAATTTTATAATAATTGAATTTAATATATTTGTGAAATGTTGGTACTAATTCATTGAAAACAGATATTAGCATCAAAATTGTTATTAATTGTGAAATTAGAATTTTGAAAAAATTTTTTGAAAAACCGAACCTTTTATACTTTTAAAAGTTAAGCTCAAATTTAGCTTAACATTAAAGCAAAATATTAATTTAAATTTAAATTTGAATTTGAATTTCAAGAAGATGGTATTTTTATGTATTCATTAAAGAATTAATTTAGATTCAGTCCATTCTGAAGATCTGCTGAATCAAAGCTTTGATTCTGATGATTTGGAAGCATTCGACATAGATGATCCTGATTTTGAAAATTATTCTGAAACTGATGAATCCGGATACTACAGTGGTGATCAGTTGCACGATGCTATTGATAGGTGATAATTAGAAAGGCAACCACAAATTAGAGAGCAAAAATCAAAATAATTATCGTCTAAAGTCATAAAACGTTTACGAATCCTTAATACTAAATTAGTTTGGATGAATCCGGATACTATAATATTTTGCATAAATTTAAATGCTACTTATATTTCCAATTTTATAGCATTTATTTGATAATATTTATTAAATGCTATTTTTGCATTCAAAATTTTAATGGTGAATTTTGTTAAAATTCTTAGAGCATTTATGATTGGGTTCAATGAGGCATTGGATCGTATGGAACGAGAAATTGACGAATTAGAAAGCGAAAATTGGGCTCTAAATGTTATCAACAATCGTGGACGGCCTGAAAATTTTCATATCGATTTACCTGTAAATGACGGATTGATTTAATTATCATTAAATTCATCCTAATTAAAGCGAATTAGATGCATTAATTATAAGCTTCATTTGTTCTTCTTGCTACTTCTGAGTATTTTTGTTAAAATAATAAGATAATCTTTCATCTTTCCGAAATCTAATTAATCATTAATTGTCTTAGTTCTCGAACTCATAAACATTTCGAAACTTAACATTAATTTTATCGACTGACCAAAATCAACAATTCAGGCAATTACATAATTAAATCACGAAAGGATTAATTAACCCAAATATATCAACATTGTATAAAGGATAAATTCAGTTCAATACTGCATAAAAGTGATTTAAAATTAATCAATTTTTGAATAATTAAGGATAACATTGCTCCAAGTGATTTGCCTGGTAGTTCAAGACAAGACGACAATATTTCATGCAAAGTAATATTACAAAATTATCAACAACTATCGCAACATATATTTTACGAAGAAGTCGATAATGAATCTTGTCAAGAACCCTATTGTCATGATCGATTATCAGCTGGTAGTTCTCGATCATGGAGTCCAAGTTCTATCAGTGGACGTCGAGGAAGGCCGTTTACTCGATTTCGAAGATACAGCTATCCAATTATTGTAAGTGCTTCCACTTAAGTTGTAAGTTTTTAGAATATGATAGAAGATTCCAAATGATCATTAGCTAAAATTCTCATATATATATTATGAAACTTAACACTAACGTAGATTTTACAATAAATTTTCATTAAAATTGGAAATTGATTAACAGATTCAACTATTTAATTTTGATCTATTGAATCATTATTAGAATCAGGTAATATCAACCTGATTGCATACATTTCATACAAAATTTTAGGCCCAGGATTTTGCTTATCCAGAGGCGGATGATGAACTAAGTGATGACGAAATGGATGGTTTATCCAACTTAGTAATAATTTTATCAAAATATGAAACTTAATTTTTTTCTAAAAATATTTTTGTTAAGGTAAATAAATGAAGATGCTTCTATCCTCAAATCTTTCCGCATATTCAGTTCTTTTGTTTCACAGAAAACATTATTTTAATGTGACGAATATTTGAATTAACCAGGAATTATTTCATTCTTCGAAACTTAAAAGTATAAAAATAAGTTTCAGCTAAGATTGGGATTAACCACACGTGATGAATCACCACCAACACGTGCGGCACCCGATCCACGACAATTGGCATTACAACAAAGCAGCGGTTATCCTATGGTCAGTAGTGGCAGATATCGCATGCGATATGGAAGTAATCATAGTATTTTTTCTGAAGAAAGAAGTCCAGTTCGTCCTCGTCGTCGTCGTATTCGTCATGCTGTTAAACGCTACCGCACGAATAGATCACGTAGCGAATCACCACGTGCCTCAAGGAAACGGCGACGTTCGTTACCACCAATAGCAAGAAGAAGAATTGTTGATTATACCACTTCGGAAAGTGATGAGGAACCAATGGAAGAAGTCTCATACATCGATCGCAACATCGAAAGAAATTATCCGTTGAGATCGGTAATGGAAGCATTCATCATTATCTGACAAAAAAGATCAAGAAGTTTTATTCCTAAAAAGAATGATTTATTACTTTTGGCTCTCTAAGATCTTATGAAATAAAACACGAAAAACTAGTTTTGATAACTGTCATTCGATTCTTAAGCAAATAGCGAATTAAAATAAAAAGTTCAAGGCGTTTTAAAGTTAAAAACTTCAGAGGCGAAGTGTCAGACCTATAAGAACTAGTCGAAGACGCTTATCGCCATCACAAAATCCACATCGGCGTCGACGATTATCACAAAGACATCCACGATCTCGCTTATATCGAAGATTACGACGCGTTAACAGTGGTCGAATTACACGAAGAAGATTCTAGGAAAAATTATTTTCCTTTAACAATTCAACGTGAAGTGATATACCGACTATTTAGGACGGAAATAGAATTTGAGTTTAAGAATAAAAACATAAACTATGAGAAATGCTACTACTGATCTGCTTGTAATTAACATTTATTTATCAATAAATACCTTGCCGCTTTTCTTACAACTTTTCGTACAAATATGTCTTCCTGTGGCATCGCTTCTGAAGTAGTGCTAAAATTACATTTTGAACTATGACATTTAATATCAAATATATTCACTTTTAATTGCAATTAAAATTCAATTAACATTGAACTTAGTCATATCATTGATTTAATGCTGAATATCATCATTATATATTCGCAAATATATCGCATTCATCAGATTCATGCAAAATTTACCTTTCTATTGACTCGAAAGTCGCATTTCTATTTGAGGTATATAATTTCATTTGACGCAAATGATTTTACAACTAATCTGAATAACATTTTTTATGCATATTTTTAATTGTTATGAATTAAAATCGCATAAATATCGATCATTGTTATATTACTGATGAATTTTCATAGATATATGACCACGGACTGGTGGTTCGTTCTTCTCTTACAAAGATATTAATGGGAAATAACTGAGGTGACACTTATTGATATGATATAAACAGGAAGTAAAATACATATATTTATTAAAAGCTAATTAATTTGAACTAATAAATAATCGAAATTAATTATTTAAATTACATATTTTAAGTTTGCTTTAGTTATTGCATTTCATAAAATTAATTTCACAAATATCTTTTATCGTTTTTTTTCAACTATAAAATAAGAATAAATAATTGATTGATGATTAATAATTAATGACAGATTTATTTAATTAATTACAAAATGCTTTTATAAATATTATGTTCAGAAACGGAATTGGCAATGCCTTCTTCACAATCGTTGGAAATTGATCGATTTCATTATCGATATGGTTTGAATTTATTATCAATGATTAGATAAATGAAGTTTATTAAATAATGATTGATGAATTTTTCTTAAATTAAAATTACATAATGTATAAATTATTTCTTCATTTATATATTATGCGAAAAGTTTTTGATAGTTTATTTTTTCTCTTAACTAAAAAGAAATAGTAATTTTATTGTGATTTGTTAGAATCGAAAACAAATTTTTGGAATTTAAATGGTGGTAAAATTACACATGAAATCTGCTAATGATAGAGGATTCATACACATTCAACATAATGCTTATAGATGAGGATGATGATAATGATGATAATGATAGCGATTCAGGTTAACTTCATCCTTTATATGAATTAATTATGATAATGAATTCCTAAAGTTAGGATATGATAAAGACAAACACATCTTTTTGTAACTTTCCCGGTAGTAGAATAGTTTTTTCCGGTAATTCAACTTTTCATCTTATTTTTATAATTATTTCTTTTTCATAATTTATAGTAGTTATTGTAATTTTTTTGAAATGAACGATAATGTATATCAATCAGGATTTTTCGGATTTGTTATCCAAACTTATTGCTTATATTACCGGAAAAATAGATAAATCAATTTTCCAATACAGATTATCTCTTCCTAATATAATTATAACTTCTCTGAAAGGGCTAAAAATCTTTTAATCATGAAATTATATCAGTATTTCTTTCATGCAATCGTCAGTTAAGTTGCCAAAATGATACTACCACCATGAGCCCAACAGGTATTTAAAATCAAAACGTATATTCTAACAAATACTTAAATAATTTTGAATGATCCGGAATCACTATCAAGCTAAATATTCCAGTAGGATCCGAAAATAATTAGTTCTTCAAATTGTTAATATTTATTGTTTTATATTTCTTATATTTATTGTTCTATATTATAATATTTCAGTCCAATCGTTTCCATCATCTGAAAATAGGATATATATTTCCCATAAATTATCGGAAAATTATTTCATCGATCATTTCGTATCATTGTCATTTCTTTACCCTTAAATATATGATAAGCTTAAAAATATATGATATCCTGATTAAAAGAAATTTGATATTTTAATAAATATTTTCAGATGGAAACGATTGGACTGAAAGCGATGTAGATACTTACATAAGTGATGAAGCAGTACCATTAGATGATGAACTTATACACGTATATGACCTTGCTGATCATTGGGGAGAAGATAATAATATGGGCCCCAATGAATTTTCACAAGAACTGATCGATGATACTGAGAGACAAAATGCTCAATATAATTTGGTTGATAGGAGTAGAAGTGTGAGCGGTTCAGGAATGGATCAAGCAAGGTTATTTCATAGAATTATTTCAAATCATTTCTCTTTTAGATAATTAAATCTTCGATCATTTCCACCTCACATTCTTCACTTATTTCAATTGCTATATTTGCATTTTTCTTACTTTTATTTTAAATCATTATTTATTTTTTATCTTCTTTCTTAATTCTTAATTGTAAAAATTTTTGTTCTTAATTTTTTACTAATTGCACTTATTTTTAAATAGTTGTAATCAGAGAATTACAGGTCAATTGATGACGCAGAAGAAGGCATTGATGATGATGATAATATCATGGATTGGACAACTACTTCAGATGTGATCTTTATAATTGAAATTATTTTCCATATTTAGTTTTATATATTATCTCTTAGTATTAAAATTTATAAGCAGAAATAGTAAAGATTTAAAAATTTATTTTATACATTTCAGTAAATATTATAAATAGTTAGATCTGTATTCAATCATATTATCTGCATGCAATATATTATATCATATAATTAGATAATCAAATTAATTTAAAATAGTGGTTGCATTTATGTAATTGCAGAATAAAGCTCTTAAGAAAAAAATTAAAACATTAATTTAAAATCTTTGTCATTTATTCAAATGCCATTAATATTTTCTTTCATTGTTTCAAGATAATTAAGTATAATTAATTTAAAATTCATTTTTCATTTATTTATTTATCCATTTCAAAAAAAATGAAATTTGCAGGATGATAATGATGAGATTTCGTAACGATGGTATAGTTGGCCATTAATATCATCGTATCAAGCAGTACAACGTTTGCAATTTAATCCAATTGGAAATATATCTCTGACTGATCATATCATTATGCCACCTCATTGTCGTAGAAGAACTTCAATGAATTCGTTTTATAACATACAACCTCAACAATCACGAGGATATTTCTATCCATCATTTCCTAATCGAAGATGGTCATATAATCGTTTACCATAAAATTCCAAACAATAATGGAAGTGTGAGATCATATATACTACATTCATGATCTTAAAGTATGTAATATCATATTCTGATATTGAGTATTTTATTTCTCAATTTCGAATACCATTTAACTTTATAATCAATACTTTCGATGTTTTGGAAAATTATTAAAATTGTAGTAATGAATTTAGGAAAAGAAAAAATTATTAATATTGGAATTTTTTTCTTGTTTCAGGTTAAAATTTGAATCTTATTAGCAATTTAATTCGTATCGAAACAAATTGCAAATATGATGCATGCAATGGAATGCAGTTGAAGTGCAAGTATGAAGTGAAGCATCATTTGCATGCCACATAATTGCAAATGTCATAAAATATTGCAAAGCAAAAATTGAATAAAATGTCACTGCGTAAATATTAGAATTTTGAATAGCTTCAAGCAAACTACAATGTCAACAATCTAAATTCTCCATAACATTTGATAAATCGATGAACATAAAGTTTAAAATGTATTTACGTAGTGTAGCTGCATGCTGCAAGCATGCAGTTACTTGCATTCCACTCGAATTTCATTATAGCTTTGTAATTATCAAGCAATTCTGTGATTAGCAATGATTAACAGGTGATAAGCAATCTTATTTTTCTTGCATAATTTTGCAAAATTCAAACATTGTTTGCAAATTAAAAGTTCCATCATAAAAATAGCTTACGGCTTAAACAATAACCAATTATTCTTTTTTCATTTTAATTTTTGATAATTGCTTCTGATACATTAGCAATGAATGTAGTAGAAGAATTTTCGGAATAATCCATATTTATTCCGCATCATATTGTATCGGTAGTACTAATTCATTGAAATTTTCTTGCTGGAATTTAATTTTCTTAAAATATCGAAATTTTGTTGTTCGAAAGCAAAACAAGAAAAAAAGGATGAAGAATGATACGATTGCACGAAAATATAGAATGAATTAATAATAGGAAATTGAAATGAAATCATTTTTCTAAAAGATTGAATTAATAATTGGAAATTGAAGTGAAATCATTTTTCTCTAATATTCTTTCATTTATTCATTTCCTGGTCAAATTAATAAATATTCAAAACATAAAGTACAACTTTGAATCATCAAAATATTGAAAACAATTGAGTGCTTCCGAAATTAAATCTTAATTTTGAGATGCATAAAACAAATATCATGCAATTTAAATATTTGATTTTAAATTGAAGCATTTTGACAATTTAAAAAAATAATACAATCAAGTGATTAATAAAATAAGCATGAAAAAATAGCTTAATTTAAAACCTTAAAATAACGCCAGCATTTAATAACGATATCAATGAATAAGAGTAATATCATTATCATTAATATTATACCGAATACAAGCCATATACTTCTCATCACTCCTTCAAATTTTATTAAATTTAATTTAATTGCTATTAGTATAAAACAAATATACTCTCATTTTATTATTTTTCCGGAAAATAAATTCATGATAAAACTATTTTTCCGGTTATATTTGTAATTTAACTTTCATAGCTATGAAACCTAAATGGAGCTGTAGGAATGATAGTTGTTCAGAAATCTAAATTAATTCCTTATTGAGCTGTAGGAATAATGAGCTGTCGTTTAGATTTAAGAATTATTTTTGAAATTGTTAAATAAATTAAGCTAGATACTAACAAATATAAAGAAAGCCTTAGTAAACATAAACTGAAATAATTTCATTTATCAGTATCGTTGAATTCAACATTTAAATTTTAGTGAATATTTTTTTATGAAGTTAATTTTTAAAAGGTAATAGTACCGATATCATTTTCATACCGATATCATTTAAACAAAAAAAGTGATAATACTTGTAACTCTTTCAACATTGATTGCTGCTTGCTCCAAATGAAATTCGAAATTATAATTTATAACAAATAATTTTGTAGTATACATCGATGTCTATTCAAAGAATATCTTTAAATCATTTCAATTTTAAATTAAAACTGCATTAGCCAAATTTAAATTTCCTTTTTTTGTTCAAAAATTCTCATTTTCAGAATATGAAATGAATTAAACAAAATTAAGAAATTATCATTTGATAATTCAAAGAGAAATGATAATTAAAAATAGATGAGATAGTTGTTTTTATAATCTTCCGATGTGATTTTGAACAATATTAAGAGGTCGATATTAGAATAATCGAAACTTCACATATCCTTCATTTCCTCTTATCAGTAAGTTATTCATTTTTTTCAATACAAATTTCTATACCTTATTACTATCATCATTACTCCTAAAAATGGAACACTTGTTGTTAATTGTTAAACAGCAATTGACAGATAGTTGCAATATTTTCCCGTTGAATTCAACATTTTCCAAATATCCATTGCATACTTTATGCTAAGAGAAATGCAGAAGTAGGATTAAAATTTTTGATGAAATTACATCTATTATCGAAGTAATATAAAATTCAGGATAAATTATTGAAATATTTGTTATAATAGCTAATGGAACATTTACATTCAAATATTCCAGGAAGAAATAAGTATATGTTATTTATCAATTCCCTAATTATTAAATATCTGAAGGATTGGATCATTTAATCTCAATTAATCAAATTTCAATATTTTTCTTATTTATTATACTATTCTTCTAAATTTTGATGTAATGCTATGTATGATAAAATATATGTATACTGTAAAAAGTAAGAAAATACATATATTCCACAAAATAAAAAAGAGATAAAAGGTGTATTATACCGTAAAATTGACTTTCGTTAAGCGTAAAATTACAATACGATTCGAATTTATCATATAATCATTGTAACAACTATAAATGATATGAATTGAGCTAATGAGAAATGATACGTGTGGTTTGACGCATTCCGTGCAACATTCATTTAGAGCCATTCTTAATTCATTTATTTTTATTTCCTAAATAAATATTATTTACAGTAATTTCAGCAAATAAAATTATCATAATTACATTTAATGATACATTAATTTGAAAAATGTTGAATTCAAAAAGTGAATAATAATGAAGCACGAATATTAATATTTATACTATTATAAGCGATGATACGACGGATAAATATTTTTGCTTACTAATATAAACTTATTTAGTTTAATTGTTTGCTTATTTTCATTATATTTTTATTGATTTCTATTTGCTAATTTAATCAAATCCATACTTCCTTCATTTATATGATCTCTAATAATTCCATATCTTATTGATGCTTGAAGGAATTTGCAATTTTCTGATGTCTTTCAGATTAACTTATTAGCCTTACCTTGCTTTCATTCCTATTAATATAAATAACCTATTAACCTTACCTTGCTTTCACTTCTATTAATATAAATAAACTCGCAAACTTTCATTTATGTAGCAAACAACGAACTTCTAGCTTCTAATTGTTACAACGCTTAACTTGTTTTTAATTATTTTAATTATTTCAAATACTTCATTTGTTTCCATTTAATTAATTTCCTTATCTTTTTGTTGCACAGTAAAATTTTTCAATTCCTAACTATTAAAATATTAATAATTAACTTACATCAACTTCTCTTTCAACAATTCCAGTCACTTCAAGTGATATTGACTGAATGGTTGTAATGAAAGTAATAAGAAAACATAGCATTAGCTTAGCCATCGATTTAAAATAACCAACAAAACAAATATGAAATAATTAAGGTTGTAAATTTACACAATTAATAATTTTTAGTCGTTATTTAAATATTAGTTTAAATTTTTGAAAAAATTCAATAATTTCTATTTGTATTATTATACTCGAAGTTAAGCGGTTGGTATTTAATCCGATTGATTTTACCATATCTTTTCTATGATCGAGAATGATTAAGTAACCATAGCATTGTAATAGAATACAATTCCAAGACTTCTTGAAATATTCAGAATGGAATATGTTGCATAGTTATGTTAGCTGAAATGAACCAATCAATAAATATATCTTTAAAAATTGCTTGTATTTCAGATTTTGAAAAAATTTGGAAGTGATAAATAAACTTTCAAATGGCAAATACTTATACGGATCTATCTTCTGCAGATGATACAGATGTAAGTTATGTAAAATTTGACAGATAACATTTATGTTATCTTTCTGGATCTCACAAAAGCTTGCTAATGTAAAAAAATAAGGTATAGAAATCAACTTAAACATGATAAAACCTGTTATTCTGTTAGTTAACTGTTAATTAGTTGCTGGAATCTTATCAGCATACTCTCAAAATTATTTTTAGCAATGATAATATGTATAAATAATTATGAAAATGATAAAAATAATTTATAGGATAAATTCATAGTGACAATGTCAACGGATAAATTGCAAACAGTATGTAATCAAATGGAAGATGATGATCCGGAAGCGGAAGATGATGAACCGGTTAGCTTCGTTGTATGGGATACGCAAGTTACTCCGGTTTTGTTTTTCTTCTTTTTTTCTCTAATGTTCTTGATAATAATTCACAAAATGCAATTTTATTTTTGCAACTTGCAAAATTTCTATGACATACTTTTGCAATGTAATTCGCCTATATCTTCACTTCGCTAATTAATTAGTAATTTTTGTTAATTAATTAGCAAAGCTATGCTTCACTCATTTATTGACAAACATTTAAAAAGTGTGAAATTCTTGTTGCAATAACTGAAGAGTAAATGAGAAATGAAAAAGATGCATAAATAAACAAAACACATCTATGAATTTATTTTATTAATATTTTGCTGTTAATAATTTTGGATATAATTATTTCAGTTTACATCTGATTTAATAGATGAAGCAATAAATGATGTTGATGTAGTCGATATTTCTACGCCATCAGCAACGCCATCCGTAACTTCTTATTTTAATTTTAAATTAAGAAAGACTAACTTCTTCATTAATTGCAGACTATTAAATTAGATTATATCGTAAAATTCAAATCTTGGCAGAAACTGTTAGATGGTTTATTTTAGGGTATATCAGAATATTTAATGATTATGCCACGCCGTCATCATCGAGCACACTTATTTGATGACGAAAATTTGACATCTTCGTCAAATTTATCACAATCAAGTTATAGTCAAAGATGATGATATTAATTAAGTCTGAGATAAATCGAATTTATAATTTTGAACTAACACAAATTGAATTGATAATTTTGAACTAACTGTAAATAAGGCAAAATAAAACAGTGATGCTTGCTATAATACAATAAACCTTCGTATTCAGTTTAGCATTTAGGCCTCTATTATCGAATTCTTCTAATGTATAATATCATATGGTATCTGTCGCATAATGTTGAAAAGATATCGCAAATGTTGCAGCAGTTATTAAGAAAATAATTAAATAAATTAACATTTTAATAAAAATTTAATAGAAAATGAATAAACAAAGAATTTTCTGATTAATTATTTAACAAAGTGTCAATTATTGAGTAACTTTGGTTAATTTTCTGATATATAATTGCAAGAAATGTTTAAATTAATTAAGAAAAATAAAATTAAAGAATTTATATTGTTTTATCTTAATGTTGAAAGTAGTAGAAGATCTAAGAAATAGAGCGAAAATGAAATTAAAAAATTTATATTATTCTATACTTAATGTTGAAAGTAGTAGAAGAAGAAATAGCGCAATTTAAATTTCTGTTATAAAGTTAAATTTTAAAAGCAATCAATTGCAAGTGTTATTTTTGATTGTTTCATTTTTGCAATTTCAAAGTTGAAAAAGGAAAAATAGTAAGTTTTGTTTTACAAAATTGCAATTTGCTGCTTTGTAATCCGAGCTATTCGATTGCAATAGTTTTTGTTAAAAAATAAATTTCTAATTTGATAGTAATTGTTTACTAAAATTGTTTATAAATAATATGCATTAACTTTATCTTCTTGGCCATAAAGAGTGTGCTTGAATTGTTGCATTAATTTAATAATACATTATACATTTCAGACAAATAAGAATTATTTTCTTTTGGACAGTAAGTTCAATTATAAAAGGAGCAAACAGATATAAACACTGTTAATAGATAAGATTAATATATCAATAATGAGTAATAATATATTAAATATCTCAAGTCTACGAGAACTTTAGCAAAATGAAATATTTCGATACTTTTTAAAGATTTGGGACTGAATATTCGACAGAAGGTAATTGCACTAAATGGGCCGTATCAGTCAGTATCAGCACTGATTCACATGTATATGGAATTGATTCATCAATGTTTTTACTATTCATTCACCTCATAATTAATATTACAATGGTTATCTTTTATTAAACATGCAAGCAAACAAATGATAAAAGAATTTTATTCATTGAAATGAAACAAAGAGAAAGGAATATCAGAAACACAATACTAATTTACATATCGGACACAAAATAACGTATAACGAAAAATATCAACTACATTAAGTGATCAAAGATATGATAAAAATTAAGGATTAAATTGTAAAAATTCAATCAATCATGGAAACAATACTAAAAATTATTACTATTTATTTGTCCCATAATTAAATACAACAGCTTATCAGCACATATTTCAATTTAAATGATCTTAGCTATTCCCTTTCTGAAATTTCTTCATATGTAATTTCAAAGTGAATTGCTTTGGTTGCATGTAGTCGAATTTGAAAAGGAGCTCTCTTCCCGATGAGTTTTCATGTGACTATCGAGATCAGCACTTCGAGAAAATCATTTATGGCATACGGAAGAACCATGTGACTTTGCACCGGTATGAACCTTCTTCATATGATTTTTAAAAGCCGATGGATCAGAGAAACGTTTTTCACATTCTGAACAATTATAAGGCCTTTCACCGGTGTGAATCCTCAGATGCCTTTTTAAATGCGCTAATTGAGAGAAATTTTTTTTGCACTTTGGACAGCCATGCGGTTTTTCATTGGTATGAGTCAACATATGAATTTGCACATTTGATGAATCAGAGAAACGTTTTCCACATTCTGAACAACTGTACGGTTTTTCATCGGTATGAATCCTCCTCATATGTTTTTTAAAAGCTGATGAATCAAAGAAACGTTTTCCACATTCTGAACAATTATACGGCTTTTCATCGGTATGAATCTTCACATGTTTTCTCAAATTCGATGGATCAGAGAAACGTTTTTCACATTCTGAACAATTATAAGGCTTTTCACCGGTGTGAATCCTCATGTGTCTTTCCAAATGTACTAATTGAGAGAAATTTTTTTTGCACTCTGGACAACCATGCGGTTTTTCACCCGTATGGGTCAGCATATGAATTTGTAAATTTGATGAAGAAATGAAACGTTTTTCACATTCTGGACAATTGTGCAGATTTTTGCCGGTATGAATCCGCATATGCTTTTTAAAATCCGATAAATGAGAAAAACGTTTTCCACATTCTGAACAATTGTGCAGCTTTTTGCCGGTACGATTTATCAAATTTTTTGGCAAATCGGATGATTGAGAGAAAGTTTTGTTGCGTTCCGAATATTCAGGCAGCTTTCCATCCGTCTGATCCATTATATGTCGTCTCATCCATATTTTTTTTGGAGATACAGGATTCTGTAATTTTTGTTCGGCGTTCGCTCCTTGGATTTGTACATTCGACGCTATCTGTTTCTTAACCGCTTCTTCTATTAATAAATCCCATGGTTCCATTCGTTCTTCACTCACTTTCGGCAACGATAAATTGAAGAGCATTGTTTGTTCCGTTTGCGCCTCCTGAAATTACATGATACTATCCATTTCATCTATCGTTGAAAATGTGATATCATCGAAATATTGAAATGTTTTATTTTTAATTTTTGATGAACTTACTATAGTTTTGATGTATAATTGGAAGAAGAAGGGGAGGAGAAGATTGTTTAAATACATATTGATTGTTGTAATTTCCTGGCAGTTCTAAAAAATATTCAAATTTATCAATATACTATGAATGGTTGCTTATAAGAAATCACAGCGCTCGCTCTTTGACAAATTGCTTAAAGTGAAATTTCTTCCAGACAATACGTTTCGACATATATTAGCATCGAAAAGTAAACTGCCGCGCAATCATTGCTAATACAATAAGGCCATTTATAACATGCAAACAACACGCATAGCAACTTACTCCTATTCTAAATCTAAATTTTATGGATACGTGTATCATAGTAAAATTTTTATATAACGCGAAATTTTGGGAAGAGACTACCATTCTTTGTTGAAATAAATGAAATAGCATTTGCTGAATGAAATTTGTGGAAGGACAGAGGTCACCAAATAGCTTTTATTAGAAGCTGTCAAAGGATCATTTCTGTAAATGCTTCTAAAAGATAGGAATGACAAATAACGTGTATTAATAATTCATGTTTGACAATAAAATAATAGCAATTGATGTTTCTTCTATCATACAGAATAATTTCATTTTAATTGCTGTATTGAATTATGAAAAATAATTTATGCAAAGTACTGACGAAATTTTTTTGGCACAATTGCTCGAAAATGAATTCGAAAAATAAATTTCCACTCGAAAATAAATTTTACCAAAACTAACTTCTTTTAACCAAAAGGCATTTAAAATATCGCTTAAATGTTGAAAGGGATCGGTGGTGATTGGCAGTGCTGTCAGCTAGAGAATTTTTCATCATTCTGATTATCATCGAGTACTTTGATAAACATCGGATCTTAATATTTATTGAACCGAATATAATTTAGCGAAATACCTCAGCTTTATTCCAGTCCTCCATGTAATGCGTGTGTTGCACAGTTAGTAGTAGTACTTACGCATCTAACAGGCGCTTCATTATTCCATTAGCGCATAAGCTATTATCATGATATCAATCAAATCAATACTGCATTAATTTAGAGGGTGAATAGCACCAAATTTATGCTGCTGCCTGAGTTAAAATGCAATTATACAACTGAGTATAATTATGATAGTAAGTGAGTGTCGTCACATGTCATTTAGGTCAGGTAGAATTTGTTGCAGAACTCATTGGAATTTTAACTTAGTGCAATTTTACTTGAAATTTCATACTGAAATTAATTTTACTCGTTACTTCGAACAATGAATTTACCCAATATCAAAATATAATTCGGCACTTTGTAAGGCTTTATTAATTTATTTGCAACTGTAAGTAAATTTAAAATTGTTAGAAATTTACTTCAATCATTTTGGCAGTGTATTAAATATGTTTGCATAATATAATATTTTTTAACACCAGCTTTTAACAATGTTTGAAAGGAAGCGACAAATTTCAGATATTTGAATAATGCATTTGATGATATATAATTTGTATAAATGGAACTAAATCTACACGGTATTGAATGATTACCTCTACGTCCTTTAATTCAATATCGTATACGAAATAATTTTTGCATTGTTATAGAAATTTTTAGTTTTTAATCTTTGTCACATTAATTAATCGAAAATAGCAAGTATATTATTTATCATAAAATAAGTAAAATTACTGACAGCTATGATAAAGATTATTTTATCATTGATCTTTTTCACTTTATATTATTATACGTTATAATTAAGCACCGATAAGGGAATAGTGATGGAATCAGTTTTTATTGATGACACATATGATTATTGTAAGAATATATCATATGACATATATATGATCGGTTAGACCACAACAGATGTTGGAGGAGAATCACCTCGTAGGATGCAAAATCGCCGGAATCAGAGCGGGTCTTCTGCGAAGGATAAAAATCAATATACTTTTTGTGCTTTCAACCGACAGAACGATTCGGATACGGACTTGGCTCATAAACATTTTTACTTTTTATTCATCTCGTGATTAATATTACAATGATTGTCCATTCCAAAAATATGCGAGTAGGCGATCACTAATACAATTTTATTTACTGAAATGAATTAAAGAGAAAAAAAATGTGTAACTGAAAAATAATACTAATTTGTATATCCGACATAAAATGAATAGCTTATAATATAAACTGCAATTAGTGATAAAAGATATGATAAATAATGAGGATAAATGCTTAAATTGCAAGAATTCAATCAATCAAATATTGAAACAATATCAGAGAAATGAGTGCATATTCAATTTAAATGCATCTTGCTATGTGAATTCATAATAAATTGCTTTGGTTGCATGCAATTCAATTGGATGAAGAAATCTCTTTGCGATGAGTTTTCACGTGCCTATTCAAAACACTTTTTCGAGAAAATCTTTTCTCGCATACGGAACAACCGTGCGGCTTTTCACCAGTGTGGATCCTCATATGACTTTTAAAAGCTGATGGATCGGAGAAACGTTTTTCACATTCTGTGCAATTGTAAGGCTTTTCATCGGTATGAATCCTCATATGTCTTTCCAAATCCGATGATTGAGTGAAATTTTTTTTGCATTGCGGACAACCGCACAGCTTTTCACCGGTATGAATCCTCATATGTCTTTCCAAACCCGGTGATCGACAGAAATTCTTTTTGCATATGGGACAACTGTGCGGTTTTTCACTGGTATGAATCCTCATATGTCTTTCCAGATCCAGTGATCGAGAGAAACTTTTTTTGCATATAAGACAACCGTGCGGCTTTTCACCGGTATGAATCTTCAAATGTTTTTTAAGATCCGATGAATCAGAGAAAGGTCTTCCACATTCTGAACACTTGTACGGCTTTTCACCAGTATGAATCCTCACATGTCTTTTCAAATCCGATGGTCGAGAGAAATTTTTTTTGCATTTCGGACAACCGAGCGATTTTTCACCGGCAAGATTTATCAAAGGCCTTTTCAGATCGGATGATTGAAAGAGAGTTTTGTTGCATTCCGAATAACTACGTAGCTTTTCATCGGTATGATTCATCAGATATCTTTTCAACCACTTCTTTTTTGGAGATACAGGATGCTGTGATCCTTGTTCAGCACTCACTCCTTGGATTGGTATAATAGGCGATGCTATTTGTTCTTTATCCGCTTCTTTTATTAATGATTCCTGTAGTTCCATTCGGTTCCGTTCCTCATTAACTTCCGGTATCGATAAATTGAAGAGCATTGTTTGTTCCGTTTGCGCCTCCTGAAGTTATATGAAACTATCCATTTCATTAAATGTTGAAAATCTGATACCTTCGAAATACCAAATGTTTCGTTTTTTAATTTTTAATGAACTTACTGTAGTTTGGATATTTAATTGGGAGAAGAAGAGGAGGAAAAAGTAGATGAAATGCATATTGATTGTTGTAATTTCCTGACAGTTCCAAAAAAAATTCATATCTATCAATACACTATGAATGATTGCTTATAAGAAACGCTCTTTGACCGAATGCTTAAAAATGAAATTTCTTACATTTCGAAATATATTAGCATCGAAAAGGAAACTGTTGCGCAATCATTAACAGTACAATAAAGACATTTATTGTACTGTCAATGGCTGTGCGACAGCTTCCTTTTGGCGTAAGTGTCACGTGCAAACAACACACATAACAACTTATTTCCACTCTAAAGCTAACTTTTATGGATACGTTTATCGAAGTTTTTTATATAACGCGAAATTTTGCGAAGAGACTACCATTCTTTGTAGAAATAAATGAAATAATGTTTGCTGAATGAAATTTGCAGAAGGACAAAGGTTACCAAATAGCTTTTATTAGAAACTGTCAAAGGATTATATCTGTAAATGCTTCTAAAAGATGGGAATGACAAACAACGTGTATTCATAATCCACGTTTAACAATAAAATAATCGTATTTGATGTTTAATCTATCATACTGAATAATTTCATTTCAACTATTATATTGAATTATGAAAAATAATTTATACAAAGTACTGATAATATCTTTTCCATAATTATTTTTCAGTTTTTCCGTGCCATCAAAATTGAGGTGATATTAATGTGAGGGAAAATCTTGTAGCATATGTTGTTGATAAATTTATATATGATTATCATCCTGAGAAGAACTTTTCACGAAAGAGGTAATCAGAGGTTAAATCAGAGGTCATTAAACACACTCTTACATAAATTGAAGTAATGAAAAAAGTTTTCAGTCAAAACTTTTGTAATTGTCTGTACAATAAATATGCGATTAGACAATCAATAATAGAATTTTATTCATTGAAATGAAATAAAGAAAAAGAGCAAATGAATAGCAAAAAATAATACTAATTTACATATCAGACATAAAATGGTTAACTTATAACGAACAAGGCAAACTGCAATAAGTGATAAAAGATATGATAAGAATTACAGATGAATAAATAAATTGCAAGAATTCAATCAATCAAATATTGAAACGTTATCGGAAATATCAGCGCATATTCAATTCAAATGCATTTAGCTATTTCCTTTCCCAAACTTCTTCACCTATGATTTTATAATGAATTGCTTTGGTTGAATGCAGTCCAGCTGGAAGAGGAGCTCTCATTGCTATGAGTTTTCATGTGCCTATTCAGAACACTTTTTCGAGAAAATCTTTTATCGCATACGGAACAATCGTGCGGCTTTTCACCAGTGTGGATTCTCATATGTTTTTTAAAAGCCGATAGATCAGAGAAAGGTTTTCCACATTCTGTGCAATTGTAAGGCTTTTCACCGGAATGAATCCTCATATGTCTTTCCAAATCCAGTAATCGAGAGAAATTTCTTTTGCATTTCGGACAACCGTACGGCTTTTCACCGGAATGAATCCTTATATGACTTTTAAAAGCCGATAGATCAGAGAAACGGTTTCCACATTCTGTGCAATTGTAAGGCTTTTCACCGGTATGAATTCTCATATGTCTTTTCAAATGCGATGATTGAGAGAAATTTTTTTTGCATTTCGGACAACCGTGCGATTTTTTACTGGTACGATTTATCAGATGCCTTTTCAGATCAGATGATTGAAAGAAAGTTTCGTTGCATTCCGAATAACTACGTAGCTTTTCATCGGTATGATTCATCAGATATCTTTTCAACCACTTCTTTTTTGGAGATACAGGATGCTGTGATCCTTGTTCAGCACTCACTCCTTGGATTGGTATAATAGGCGATGCTATTTGTTCTTTATCCGCTTCTTTTATTAATGATTCCTGTAGTTCCATTCGGTTCCGTTCCTCATTAACTTCCGGTATCGATAAATTGAAGAGCATTGTTTGTTCCGTTTGCGCCTCCTGAAGTTATATGAAACTATCCATTTCATTAAATGTTGAAAATTTTGACATCGTAATATTAAAGTGTTTTATTTGTTAATGAGCTTACTGTAGTTTGGATGTCTAATTGGAAGAAGAGGAGGAGAAAGTAGATGAAATACATATTGATTGTTGTAATTTCGTGACAGTTCTAAAAAATATTCAAATTTACCGATATACTATGAATGGTATGAATAACTATGAATATGAAATCACACCGCTTGCTCTTTGACAGATTGGTTAAAAAAGAAATTTCTTCCATACAATGCATTTCGAAATATATTAGCATCGAAAAGCAAACTGTCGCGTAATCATTGCTAATACAATAAGGCCTAATTATTCCTATTCTAAAGCTAAATTCTATGGATACGTATATTGTAGTAAAATTTTTATATAACGCGAAATTTTGGAAGAGACTACCATTCTTTGTTGAAATAAATGAAATAGCGTTTGCTGAATGAAATTTGTGGAAGGACAGAGGTCACCAAATAGCTTTCATTAGAAACTGTCAAAGGATCATTTCTGTAAATGCTTATAGAAGATGGGAATACAAACAACGTGTATTAATAATTCATGTTTGATAATAAAATAACAGCAGTTGATGTTTCATCTATCATACTGAACAATTTCATTTCAACTATTGTATTGAATTATGAAAAATAATTTATACAAAGTACTGACAATATCTTTTGCATAATTTCTTTTCAGTTTTTCCGTGCCATCAAAATTGAGGTGATATTAATGTGAGGAAAAATCTTGTAGCATATGTTGTTGATAAATTTATATATGATTATCATCCTGAGAAGAACTTTTCACGAAATAGGTAATCAGAGGTTAAATCAGAGGTCATTAAACACACTCTTACATAAATTGAAGTAATGAAAAAAGTTTTCAGTCAAAACTTTTGTAATTGTCTGTACAATAAATATGCGATTAGACAATCAATAATAGAATTTTATTCATTGAAATGAAATAAAGAAAAAGAGCAAATGAATAGCAAAAAATAATACTAATTTACATATCAGACATAAAATGGTTAACTTATAACGAACAAGGCAAACTGCAATAAGTGATAAAAGATATGATAAGAATTACAGATGAATAAATAAATTGCAAGAATTCAATCAATCAAATATTGAAACATTTCCAGAAATATCAGCGCGTATTCAATTTAAATGCATTTAGCTATTTCCTTTCTCAAACTTCTTCACCTATGATTTTATAATGAATTGCTTTGGTTGAATGCAGTCCAGTTGGAAGAGGAGCTCTCATTGCTATGAGTTTTCATGTGCCTATTCAAAACACTTTTTCGAGAAAATCTTTTCTCGCATACGGAACATCGTGCGGCTTTTCACCAGTGTGGATTCTCATATGTTTTTTAAAAGCCGATAGATCAGAGAAAGGTTTTCCACATTCTGTAGAATTGTAGGGCTTTTCACCGGAATAAATCCTCATATGCCTTTCCAAATTCGATAGACGAGAGAAATTCTTCTTGCATTTCGGACACCATGCGGCTTTTCACCGTTATGAATCCTCATATGACTATTAAAAGCTGATGGATCGGAGAAGCGTTTATTACATTCTGTGCAATTGTAAGGCTTTTCACCGGTATGAATCCTTATATGTCTTTCCAAATCCGGTAGTCGAGTGAAATTTTTTTTGCATTTCGGACAACTGCGTGGCTTTTCACCGGTATGAATCCTTATATGTCTTTCCAAATCCGGTAGTCGAGTGAAATTTTTTTTGCATTTCGGACAACTGCGTGGCTTTTCACCGGTATGAATCCTTATATATCTTTCCAAATCCGGTAATCGAGTGAAATTTTTTTTGCATTTCGGACAACCATGCGTCTTTTCACCGGTATGAATCCTCATATGACTTTTAAAAGCTGATCGATCGGAGAAACGTTTTCCACATTCTGTGCAATTGTAAGGCTTTTCACCGGTATGAATCCTTATATGTCTTTTGAAATCCGATAGTCGAGAAAAACTTTTTCTGCATATCGGACAACCGTGCGATTTTTCACTAGTACGATTTATCAGATGCCTTTTCAGATCGGATGACTGAAAGAAAGTTTCGTTGCATTCCGAATAATTATGTAGCTTTTCATTGGTATAATTCATCGTATATCTTTTCATCCATTCCTTTTTTGGAGATGCAAAATGCTCTAATCTTTGTTGAGCATTCGCTCCTTGGATTGGTATATTAGGCGACGCTATCTGTTTTTTATCCGCTTCTTTTATTAATGAATCTTGTAGTTTCATTCGAGGGATTTGTTCCTCGTTCACTTCCGGTATCGATGAATCGAACAGCATTGTTTGTTCTCTCTGCGCCTTCTGAAATTATATAGTATTGTCCATTTCATCTAGCGTTGAAATTTTGCATCTTCGTAGTATTAAAGTGTTTTATATTTTAATTTTTAATGAGCTTACTGTAGTTTGGATGTCTAATTGGAAGAAGGGGAGGAGAAAATAGATGAAATACATATTGATTGTTGTAATTTCCTGACAGTTCTAAAAAATATTCAAATTTACCGATATACTATGAATGGTTGCTTATAAGAAATCACACCGCTTGTTCTTTGACAGATTGATTAAAAAAGAAATTTCTTCCAAACATTGCATTTCGAAATATATTAGCATCGAAAAGCTAACTGTCGCGCAATCATTGCTAATACAATAAGGCCATTTATCACATGCAAGCAACACGCATAGCAACTTACTCCTATTCTAAAGCTAAATTTTACGGATACGTGTATCGTAGTAAAATTTTTATATAACGCGATATTTTGGGAAGAGACTACCATTTTTTGTTGAAATAAATGAAATAGCGTTTGCTGAATGAAATTTGTGGAAGGACAGAGGTCATCAAATAGCTTTTATTAGAAGCTGTCAAAGGATCATTTCTGTAAATGCTTTTAAAAGATGGGAATGACAAACAACGTGTATTAATAATTCATGTTTGACAATAAAATAATAGCAATTGATATTTCTTCTATCATACTCAGTAATTTCATTTTAACCGCTGTATTGAATTATGAAAAATAATTTATGCCAAGTACTGACGAAATTTTTTTGGCACAATTGCATTCCATTTCATCTCAGTTTTTTCATACCTTCAAAATTGCGGTGATATTAGAAGGAAGAAAAATCTTGTGATACATAATCATTCATCTGTATATTGTTCTGAAAAAATATATTATTGATTCTTATCCTGAAAAGAATTTTTTATAAGTGAGAAATCAGAACTTATAATATATCATTTCATGTACTTTTATTTAATTTAAATTTCAACAACAAATTAAAGATTTCGATTGAAACGCGATTTAAATTTTGCGAGAATTCAACTTGCAATAGAGAATATATTTAACAAAATTAATTTCTTTTAACCATGTGGGAAGAAGCTTTTAAAATATCGTTTGATACTTTATGCCAAAAGAGATTGGCAATGCTGCCAACAAGAGATACTATCGAGAACTCCGATAAACTATCAGGTCTTAACAGTCATTATATTTTGACAAATAATTTCGATTTTTATTATATCATACACATAGAAATTACTGTATCATCATGAAGTAATATATAATATGAAGTAAGATAAGATAAGATATTTGTGTTTGATAAGAATGTTTTGGGTATTTATAAAAGAATAAAATTAATTTAGCAAAATTTATTTTATTAAAAAGTGAAATGACAATTTGATTGATTAATTTATTAAGAGATAAGAATGCAAATGATATAAAAGAATGATAATTGAGGTATTATTGTGATTAATTATAAAATTACAATTCATATTAATGATTTTCATTAAACTTCTCTTATCTTCTTTTCACTCTCTTTCTTATAATGGCTGTCTTTATTTTTGCTATGCTTCTTAATCAATTTCTCGGATGTTTTAAATCTTTTTCGTTCTAATGGTGGTCGTGCTTCTCTGCAATTAATTTATGCTTAATTTAATTTTTAATCTTTTAAAAATTTGTCAATTCTTTATTGCTGCTTTTTTTCGTACACTAATTCATCCATTCTTACCTGAATTCAAAAGGTTGTAAATAAATGATAATAAAGAAGAGAGAATGTTAAACAACTACTGAGAGTGTGATCTATCGAAATTTTTTAAATCATTAAATTGAAAATTAAAAAAAAGCTTGCTAACTTATTAATAAACTTTCGCATTCGTTGCCATAACATCGAGCTATTTTCAAGATTATTATGGCCAACATCTGGTATCCATAATGGTTTTACAGCCCCAGGGCATAATTGATATAATGCTTTTCCATGCTCAATTCTTACAATCATATCTTGTGCTCCATGTGCTATCAGTGTTGGCATTTTAATTTCACTAATCTAATAAAAATGATGGAATTTTTTTGACAGCGTTAAATAAAAGATTTAATTACATTAATTCTATTAAAAAATGATTTTAAAACAAAAAACTATAAATCAAATAATTAGTAAAACCATGAAATATGGCTTACTATATTTTTATAGCTTTACCACAATATTGTATTGTAATCTTACTATGTTATGATATATGATATATATAGTGTTATTTGCATATCAAAATAAATTTTTAAATAATATCAAAATGAATGAAACTTTTTTAACGCTATTAAATCGATCACTGCAACAATCGGCTAAATGACCGCATTGTTCACTTCGTTCCCAACAACATTTCCTCCAACATATCGTTCGTATAATCGATGCTACTGGTGCTAGCAATATTAAGCCAGCAAGTTTACTGGCTTGTTTTGCTAATTCTATTGATGCTACTGTGCCGATACTGTATCCCCATAGGATGATATTTGCCTCCGGAATACATAAATCTTCCAATAGATACTATAAAATATTATTGTACAAGTTAATTGAACAAATATTAACTATATGTATAATCTTTATAATAGCAAATTAAGGCAAGGCTCATTCATTTGAATGTTATCCAAAAAAGGCTTGATAAGAGCTAATAACAATAATAGAATATACTTTATATACAGCGCTAATATCCGAATACATATTTTTTTCACTTGGATTACCTTCGCTAATACCATAACCGCTATAATCATATGAGCATATATTGCAATTAAAAAATCTGTAATTAAAAAAGTATATAATCAATCAAAAAGTGAATAACAGTAATATGTCAATAGGTAATGAAAGGAAATTAACTGTGCTGCATTACGGTGATATTGTTTCAATGAAAACAACAACTATAGTTTAAGCAATAATTGAATTAAATTGTTTTAATAGATCATAATATGATATGGATAAGTTTGTATAATAATTAATAAGATTTAGTCTACGCTTGCACTATGTCGAGAAGTCTAAATTTGGCTGAAAAACTTTGTCTCACGATCAACAAGGGATAATTTGTACTAATAATACAACTGTGATAAACATTAATTAACATTCATTTCAAATATGTTAAAATATATTTGTCGACCTTGCCGCATCATGTAAATTCGGTAATCCAACAAGATGATCAGACATATCACTACCATTTGGATGTGAAAATAATAACGTGTAACGTGGTCTTGATTTTCGAACAAATACACATGCAATATGCTAAAATTATCATTTCATCATTATTCAATGAGAAATAACTTACGATATGAAATTCGCAAGCGTCGCAAAACTAAATCATCTGTACGATTTGATATTGAATATTCAGAATTTTAACAAGGAAAATATAATTAACATTTTTTTTCTCTGTTTCTGTAACAAAACATTCGATTCCAAATATTTCAGCAGCACATTGATGCTCAAAACCAAATCTCCAATCTTTCCGCTTCAGACAATTTCTGTAATTTAAAATTTAAATTTATTGAAGTGGAAAATTATTTGTGAAATGATAAATTGTCTTTTCCATGTGATTAAAGCATTTACAGAACGCAGAGAGAAGAGTTTAAGAATTCTGTTGATTTTAAATAATAACTAGAGAAGTATACCATGACCTTTAACCTGAACAAAATTTCCGATTCCAAACATGTACTTGTAACTAATTCTTTAATTTTATTATAATAAATTTATCATTGCTGAAGCAACAACCAAAAAAATATTAAAATGAAGGAAAAGAAATCAGAAATTTGACCTCTTGTAGTTTCTCAGGATGGATAATGCAATTTATTGACCTCTTACTAATTTTCATACCAATGTCATATTCAATGCATATTATAATTGATGGATTAAAATTTATAATTAATGAATAGATGAAACTTTAGACAAAATGTTAAAACGATCTTTTATGAGCTTACTTGTTAGCTTTTCGAACAATATACTGTCGAGTTAATGGTTCTTTATCACTTTTACCAATATTTTGTTTATCATCATCAATAAAGAAATAATATTCACGTGGTGGTGGCCAAAATGCTACCTGAAATAAATAACCGATCGATATATATAATATTATTCATATTGGTATTAGAATTTAAATTAGACAATAGAATTTCATCAATTAAACATATGATCGTATTAATTGAATCAATAAAAATCCAAATAATTTGCATCTATTATTTAAGTAAGACAAAAGAAGAAGTTAAGAGGAATGAAAGAAAGTTTTTAAAAGTTAATATGTTATTAATATGTTAATATATTTTTTAATTTCACGAATTAAATAATTAATATATTATTTTATATAAACATAAATATGTATGTTTACCTTATTTAAGCAATAACCTAAAATTGGTGGACAACAACAGCACCATATAAATTGTCGAATGAAACGAAAAATATTTGTAATAATTTCCCATAAATTATTTAACCAAACCCAACGTTTTCGTTTACATATACAATTTAAAACAAATTTTTTTTGCCTAAATTTAAAATTAAAATTTTCTTTTGAATTATTTATTATATATGAATAATAATATTAAATGATATGATATAATATAATATTTTATATGTTCGTTTTTTTCTTGTTTCAATTTTATTATCACTGATGTAATGCTGATATGAATTTCGTTACCGATAAGGTATATTGGTTAAATCTAATAGTTTATTTAATATAGAAATAATTAACTTAAGTTTATTTTAGCATTCTATTCGCTGAGGATATTATGAGCGAAATATCTGATACAATAGAAAAATGTCTAGAATATTAATGATAGAATAGAATACTCTTAGAATATGATAAATAATAATATGATAATATGAATAATATGATTATTTTCATAATATGATAATATGATTAGATAATATGATAATATTATAATATAATATGATAGACTTTTATAATATGATATAATATGAATAATTATTCATAAATTTATTTTTATAAAAACATTTTAAATGATATATCGTAAAAATAATATAAAAGTATAAGCAATTATTTTAATTAAAAAAAAAGTTTCATTTTAAATTAACCAATAATAATTCCAACAAAAACAATAGCTTACTTATATTCATCTAAAAGTTCGAGAAATTTTTTCTCATCCTTTCTATCATCATACTTTTTAAACTGACTTCGAGCATGCCACATATGTTTTCGATACTCTCTAAAATTTATATTGCAATCAAATTGAAATCATTTTTGAAATTTCTCAATTATAGTTATTTTATTAAATAAAATAACTATATAAACAGAATAACTATATCTTTGAAATGATTTCTTTTTACTTCAGAAATTTTTCCTCCTCTTACATTTCCAAATTTTATGACAAATTTAACTTAGATAGATTGAATTTAATTTCTTATCCGTATCATTTATATTCTTTACTTTCTTATTTATCCATTTTCTTCTATTACTCCAAGTTACACATCAATTCATATCATTTTGACATTTTGAAATAAATTTTAATTTAAATGATAATTTTTTACCGTCTACAATGATCATCATGTTTTCGTAATCGAGAAGAAATTGAAAATGAACCTAATGATATAATCGATGAATTGTCCTAAATTTTATAATTAAACAATTAATTAAAGCAATATAAAGAAATGTAATACAAAAGTTGCAAAGGATATTTGAGAAAATAAGAATTCAGTTGTATTATTAATCTTCGGATCTGATGGTCGGATCTGATATAAACATAAAAACTTTAATAGTATAATTAGAATGAGAACTTTAGTAGTAATAGTTAGGAATTAGAATGAAAATTTTAGTAGTATTAATTAAGAACTAGATATGAAAATTTTAATAGTATTAGTTAAAAACTAAGCATGAAAACTTAATAGTATTAGTTAAGAGTCAGATATGAAAACTTTAATCAGATATGAAAAACTAAATTTTAATAGTATTAGTTACAAAATAAACATGAATACTTTAATAGTATCAGTTTGATATGAATAATAGCTTCTATAAACAATAGTGCATCATAATATTAGTAATTAGAATCATTTTAAAAAAAAACGTTCAAAAGAATTACAGACAGATCAGAAGAATTGTAAATATTCATATTACGAATGAATTATAATTTTCATTCTAATTAAACTGTAAATTAAATCAAACTAATACTATTTAAGCTTTCACATTCAATAGAAAAATTTATTCAGAAAATAAATAGCAATTAAATTTAGTTTCAAAACAAAAAATTCACAATAAGCTAATTTGTGCCCTGAAACTTACTGATTACTAATTAGCATAAAAGTTAATTATTTTTTTTTAGTCAATAATTATTAAATTTAGAAGAGTGAAATTTTGTTAATTAAACTTGAAATTAATGATTAGATGAAGAATTATTAATTAAAACTTACAACTTTTTTTGCTGAACGATGGCTCCTTGTGATTGTTTGCTATAAGAATGAAATCATTTATTAAATCTTTTTCAAATTTAATTAAATTAAATCTTATTTAAATTAAGTTTAAATTTTAATTAAATTAAATCTTATTTAAATTAGATTTAATTTTAATTAAATTAAATTTTAATTAAATTAAATTAAATCTTTTTTGAATAAATAACTAATAAAGTAAATTGTAAAATAAAGCAAAATTTATTTCTTTTAAATTTCATTTTTCATTTGTTTTAATCTTTAATAAATATGCAAATTTTTTTAAATATGGTTTGCAAAAAATTACTGAATTAAATACTAATTAATTCCTCTGCAAACTAATATAATTTGTTATCATTACCTCTTTCTTTTTAACTGTATGAAGCATATCATCTTCGGTACCTGTTAATGATTTCGTTTCAGTTAGTGACTGGAAAAAGAAATATTTTATTATGAAATAGAATTATCATTCAAGGAAATAAGAATGCTAACAATCTCAGCTTATCTTTTTATCATTTTTATCATTTCACTTTGCTGTTGTTCATCTTGTAAACATCTCGTAAGTTTCATGAGAAATAACAATTTGGAATTGAAAATATTTTCAAAATTCACAAATTTCATTTTTCTCTTTTGTTTTTAAAAATCTTAGCATTCTTTTTTTTTGAAACTTTGATACTTCCTTCTTTCACATTCTTCTTTTTCGTAGGTTTGATAGGTCAAATGAAAGTAATAGGTTTGATAGAATAAATTAAAGCAATAGGTTTGATAGGTCAAATGAAAGTAATAGGTTTGATAGATCAAATGAAAGTAATAGGTTTGATAGAATAAATTAAAGCAATAGGTTTGATAGTTCAAATGAAAGTAATAGGTGTAATAGATCAAATGAAAGTAATAGGTTTGATAAGTCAAAGAAAAGTAATAATTATTTCAAAAATTTTCAAATTATGGAAAAAAGAATAAATTAAATTTGATCTCTTAATTATATCATATAATATTTGACATAAAAAAAAGATAAAACAGAGAGATAATACTGACCGTATCTTTCGTAATATTTGTAGTTTTAGAATTTAGGCTTTCTGTTATGCTCGAATTTTGACTCAATATTTTCATATTTTCTTCTACGTCCCATTTTTCACTAAATTCACTTTCACTTTCTGATCTAATTTTCTGTGACTAAAACAGAAAAGAAGTTAATTATTCATTATTTATTCCAAAGGAAATAATACTTATCAAGTGCTATTATTAGGTGGTAATTGGAATTGTTAACAATCAATATCTATATCCGATCATCCGCATTTACATCAATCTTCTACGAATGGATCAATCAACAAATGCACATCGTTTACTGATTATCACCGACAATAATTTCAGAAGTTCTTACTACTTCCTTTCTTATCTTTTTTTTTTTGCTCCACTTATCATTATAAGTTTGTTTTCTATCAATCTGATCGTATTCGTATTTTGTTAATCAAATCTTTATTTGTGAATGCAATAAAGAATTGATTAACAAAATTGGTTAACTCACATCATATTCTCTTTGTTCACTTTTTTTCCGAATCAAAATAAAATTTAAAGATTAATTGAAGTAATTATAAGCTTAAGTTTCAATAGTGTCTTCGCAATGATACTTCATGAAAAAGTATATCAAAGAAATATATGAGCAAGTTTATACCAGTAATGGTATGCTATTCAAAATATTAGAATCTGCCGTAGATATTGACACTTGATCAGATTGTAATTTCCTTGCAGAATTAATCATAACGAATAGACTATATATCAAATCGCTAAAGAAAAATGATGGAATGATTCGGTATTCCAAGTATTTATTATATTTCATATTGATTGATTTATTCAAATTTTGCAATTATGCAAAATAATGAACGTGATTTGAGCGATCGATTAGACAATATCATGCGATTATTTCCACTCAAATGTGTCATCAATTATGATATCAAATAATTATGTAATTTGACAAAGAACAAAGCGTGCAAGTAACACGTGTATTTGTTTATCAAAGTAATATGTGATCGACATATTGCTTAAATAGTGAATTCTCACATTGTCGTTTTGTATAGCAAAGATGAATACAGATGGAATGATAAAATAAGAATAATGAAAAGTGATAAGAATTTATCGAAATAATATATTCCGACGCATGTACGTTCGATGTCCAAAGTTATATGTAATAAATGATACTACATTAATTAATATTTTAATTTTTCTATTAATAACCGAATGCCATCCATCTGCAATGCCACTATATTAACACTATGATTCAACCAAATTAAAACTTCTTTTCGAGTTTTATAAATTTCATTTCATAATTTCATTTAACAATTTCGAATTTAAATTGAAGTGAAAAAATATTTCAGACTTTCAAGATTTAAGTAAATCGATCGTTGAACAGTTGAAAAACGAAAAGCATGGATATAAAGATCCAGACAAACAACAGTATGCAACCATTTGATGCTTGATATGGACCCAATTAACTTGTTCAATTTTGGTAAAGTTAGAAATAAACAATTGATGTAGAATTTGCTTTAAGAAATGAAAAAGAACTGAATTCTGTAAGTACCGGTACTTGAATAATATTTCAGTCTCACTTTTTTTCACAACTTCGAATGAAGAAAAATAAACAGATTGAATAAACGAACAAAATAAACAAATAAATAAAGAATAATGGATCTGAATGGTACTTGAATGATGATATTCTGAGTTTCTACCCGCCAGAATTATTTTCCCAGGAAGTTTGAAACTGAAAAATATTCAATATAATTAGCCTTACTATTATTTTTATTTATTATAAGCACTTAACGTAATTACTGTTACTTCAAATTATTATCAGCTTTATGATTTTATCATTGCTATGTCTACTATTATCTATTACGATTGCTTCACTCAATAATTATTTTAGATTATTTTATATTACTAGTATTGGTATTACGATACCATTATCACTTCTAATACTACTTCTTGCTATTATGTCCACATCTTTATTGTTCTGAATTTTGCAAAACATTAAGATTACCTCACATGTAAAACGTTGAAACTACCCGTCCATAAAGCGTTAGAACTATCTTGAACGTAAAACGTTAAAACTACTTTGCATCAATTCGTTGCAATCTTTGAGGCATGTAGTTAAAATGCAACAATCACAATTTGGAGTTAGACATCGATACAGATGTTGGTTTGTGTTCTTAGTTGCGGTAGTGTGAGGTGTGTGATTCATTTGCTACAGATATCTTTCAATATCAGACAACGAACTTAACTCGTAAAGAATCTGCTTATTTTTTCAAGTTCTACATTTAATTTTAAATCATATCTGTTTCACGCATATTCCGAAGTAGCACGTTCACTTTTTAATAATATGTATAATTTATGTTTTTTTGATTTTTTCTTCAAATATTTTATGTTTGCCAGACAATATAGATTTTCCAATAAATGACAAATTAAATCGTGCGGTTTTTTCAAACAAAACTTTTATTTTCGACTATCAGATGTTTGTTGTGTGTTTTTGACTGTCATCATTCTGATATATTATGGGATGTTTTTAATAAACCCTTTTGCAGCATACAAAAAATGGCGGCAAGAATTTGAAGATCAAAGGATAAAATGGGAATGAAAAGTTTGAACGTGATCTCATGGCATTATCAGACACCTGAAAGGAGAGCCCTGAAAAGGAATCGATTGGGACCACCTGACGTTTATCCGCAAGATGTTAGTTAACATTTGGCTCTATTGCTTCTTTATTTGCCAATTGGAATTAAAGAA